TTTCTGCAAGTCCACTTTCCTATTTGGAGATCCCTCTTCACAGGGACTCTGCCAGTTTTCTCAGCATGTCTGTCTGAGAAGTATGTTCTAAAACTGTGGTTTCCACCAGGTATGTTTGAGAAATGAGTGGGCTCGGTTAGGAGATGGACCTGAGCCAAAACTCTGATCACCTTATCAGCATAAGCCCTCTGTCTGGTGTACCCCATGCTGCTAGGGTCTCTCGAGAATCATTGTGCGTGGAGAGCTCTGCCCCCATGTGCAGTTACCAGGGAGACAGCTGCAGCCCTTTTGTGGGAAGGTAGGGGATAATCTGTGCTGTGAATCAAGACCCTTCTTCATTAACTTTGCTCACATCTAGGCATCCATAGAGGTTTTCTGACTTTCTTTTCTAAACAAGTCAGACTTATGTGTGCTTATGCCAGAAGTTTACTTCTTAAACTATCAAACCCCAATACTTTTGTAGGCTTCACTGTTTGCTTCTAGGGACACCATGATCAGGTAGTCTATGATGAAGATCTCTGCTGTCAAATCAGGTTGCAGCTTCAGTTCTGTCCACTGTAGTACCAGCACCCACATTTTCTCAGGATATTCAGTGTTGCCACTGGGCCCAGCCACACCAACATCGTGTCTTTCCTTTGAATCAGGAAACCCTGTTGAATGGCAGCAGTTCCCATATCCCTGTCAGCTCTTTGTTTCACTGATCTCTTATATCTTTGGCTACAATTTTGTTCATTCTCTAATTTTAATTATTTCTTTTCTCCTACCAAATTTGGTTTTCCTATTAGTTTTCTGGGTCTTGGATGCAATGATAGTTCATTTATTTGGAGTCTTTCCAATTTCTTGATGTAGGTACCCATTGATATAAACTTCCTTCTTAACACTTCTTTTGCTGTATCCCATAAGTTTTGATATATTGTCATCTTCATTCATTTCCAGAAATTTTTTTATTTCTATTTTGATTTCTTCTATGACACACTCTTCATTCAGGAGCATGTTGTTCAGTCTCCATGTGTTTCCATATGTTCTGGGGATTCTTGAGTTTTTAATTACCAGTTTCATTCCATTTCACTCAGAAAACTTGCATAATAGGCTTTCAATTTTTTTTTAAATTTGCTGAGACTTGCTTTATGTTCTATCCTAGGGAAAGTTCCATGAACTGATAAAAGGAATGTATGGTTTGCAACTGTGTAATGAAAGGTTCTGTAGATAACAGTTAGGTCCATTTGGTCCATAGTGTAGATTAGCTCTGTTGTTTCTTTGTTGACTTTTCTGTCTAGTTGATCTGTCCATTGAGGAAAGTGGATGTTGAAGTCACTCATTATCATTGTATTAGAGTATGTGTTTCCCTTTAAATCCATTAACATTTCTTTTAAATAGCCAGGCACCCCAGCTATGCATATACATTTATTATAGTCACATCTTCCTGTTGAAATGATCCCTTAATCATTGCATAGTGCTCTGCTTTGTCTGGTTTAACAGCTTTTCTGTTAAAGTCTGTTTTGTCTGCTATTAGCATTGGCTATGCCTGCTCATGTTTGCTTTCCATTAGCGTGGAATTTGTTTTCATCTTTTCACTCTCAGTCTGCCTGCATCTTTGTTGATGAGGTGTTTCTTGTAGGCAACAAATTGATGGCCCTTTTTTTTTAAAATCCTTTCAGCCAGCCTGTATCTTTTAATTGGAGAGTTTAGGCCATTTACATTCAAGGTTACTATTAATAAATAATGGCCTGGCCTGGGCCAGCACCATGGCACAGTAGGTTAATCCTCCGCCTGCAGCGCCAGCATCCCATATGGGTGCTGGTTCTAGTCCCTGCTGCTCCTCTTCTGATCCAACTCTGCTGTGGCCTGGGAAAGCAGTGTAAGATGATCCAAGTGCTTGGGCCCCTGCACCCGCTTGGGAGACCCAGAAGAAGCTCTTGGCCTCTGGTTTCAGATTGGCTCAGCTGAGACTGTTGTGGCCATTCGGGGAGTGAACCAGTGGAGGGAAGTCCTCTCTGTCTCTCCCTCTCACTGTCTGTAACTCTGTCTCTCAAATAAATAAAAAAATAGAAAAAAAATGGCTTGGCCCTGTCATTTTTCCATAAATATCCCTATTATTTGCTTTGGATTTGCTTTGTATTTTTACTGGGAGATTTGCTGCCTTCATATTCTTTCATAATAACTGTCTTTCTGTGTTTCTCTGTGTAATACTTCCTTAAGCATATTGTAATTCTGGACAAGTGGTGACAAATTCTTTCAACTTCTGTTTGTTATGGAAGGTTTATTTCACCATCATTCATAAGTGAGAGCTTTGCAGGTTACAGTATTCTGGCTTGACAGTTGTTTTTTTTTTTTTTAAGACTTGCAATACATATCTGCATTGTTTCCTAGCCTGTAGGGTTTCTGATGATAAGTCAGCTGTGAGTCTAATTGGAAATTCTCTGAAAGTAATCTGACATTTCTCTCCTGTACTTTTTAGGATCTTTTCTTTATGGTTTACTGTGGGAAGCTTGGCTACAATGTGTTAAGCGGAAGATCTTTTCAGGTCATGTCTGTTAGGATTTCTATGTGCCTCATGTACTTGGACATCCCTTTCTTTCTACAAATTAGGGAAGTTTTCTGTAGTTGTTTTACCTAGACCTTCTAATCTGTTGTGCCTTTCCACACCTTCAGGAACTCCTAAGACCTGTATGTGTTGGGTCATTTGATAGTATGCCATAAATCTCCAACACTGTTTTTAATTTCTCCAATTTCTTCTTCTTCTGCTTCTGCTTCTTTTTCTTCCTTTTTTTTCTTTTTTTGGTGTGACTAAAAAATTTCCAAAGATTTATCTTCTAGCTTGGGTATTCTTTCTTCTGCCTCACCAAGTGGGTTGTTAAGGCTTTCCACTGTACTGTTTATTTGACACTGAATTCTTCAATTCTAACATTTTACCTTGATATTTCTTCAAAAGCTCAATGTCAAGGTAATATTTTTCATCCATGTCATTTATGAATTTATTTAACTCATTAATTTGCTTCTCATTGCTTCTGAATGATCCTGTCATTAATCTTTAATTCAGTTTCATTCATTTAATTAATATTTTTGTCTTTGAATTCTAATATTGAAGTGCTGTTGTGTTCCTTTTGGGAGGTCATCTTGTTTTCCTTCTTGTTTCTTGAATTTATGCATTTATTTGTAGACATTTGTGTAAATGGTTGTTGGGTTTTCCCTCTGAAGTCTTTTATCTTTGAACTGTGCCTCTGTGTCTTAGAGGAGTGTCTGTCCTTCCAGTCAGTACCTGTGGTGTGTTATGGGTGTGGACTGGGAGCTCTGGTCAGTGCTCTAACACGGGGCAAGTCTCCAGGGTGACACCCAAGTTGAGTGTGAGAGATTTCCTGTTATTAGCAGAAAGAAGGGTATGACCACCTCTGTTGGCATAATCGCACCTTCACCGACACACACATGAGCCTCTGCAGTGGGTACTGATGTCACAGTGGTCCTTCTCCCCACCTGTTGACAGCTGCAGGCACCCCAGCTGCTGCCACCACTACTGCTGACAAGATGGCCTCTTGTCCCCGCCAGTTGCTGGGCACACACACAAGTGCTACTGAAGCTGCTCCTTATGTCCAAAATGGCAGGCACCCTCTGTCAGCCAGTTTCCAGACACCACTGGGCTGGGGATAAGGAAAGAGAAATATGCCCCTTCTTTTCACTGTATTAGCAGGTACACTGTGTTAACCCCCTTAGGGCTCCAGGCCAGGCTCTCCATCCAGCTGTAACACCAGTGGAATGGGCTGTGACAGTCTGATCTCATGCATTCTCCAGCTCTCAGCTGCCGGATCATGCGTTATGTCCATGCACATCTGCAGCTTCTGCACACATCTCCTGTGTCGCTCTTCCTTCCATAGAATTTCCACTGCAGTTTTCTAACTCTCCTTTGAGAATGTACTTCCTCTTTATTTTATTTTTTTTTATTATTATTACTTTTACTATTTTCTCCTAGTGTAGAACATTATTCTCTTTCCCTGTTCTACCATCTTGGAATCCCGTGGAAGATTCTTGAACATAATTTAATTTTGTTCACTGCTACAGGATCTCTACTGCTTAGAAGAGTGCTTGCTGTAGTACATCGTCAGGATGTTTGGTGCATTTTTGTTGAAAGATTGACTGGTTCATTTTTTTAAATTTATTCCACAAATATTTATTGAGAACTGTGTTCAGGAACAAGGGGTGAAAGATACTTGAGAGAAAGGTGGCTGGGGTTGCGACAGTGAGGCAGAGGGGACTGGGAGGTAAGGAATGAAGCTTTCAGGTTGGGAGATGACCACATTTTGTGGGGTGTGGCGGGCCATCCTTGGGGAGTTGTGTACAATCCCACATGCAGCGGGGGAAGCCCAGGAGTAATTTAAGCCCAGGAGTTATGGCATTATATTTTGTTTTGCACGTTTACAGTGTTTGTTGTTTGGAGGATCAGTTTACTCAGGCAAACTTTATAGAAATTAGCCAGAAGCGTCTGTTTCATGACTTTAGAGAAGAGACAGCACAGCTTGTCCTGAGACGGGCTGGGGACTGGGGGCTGCCTATTCAGCTGCTGTTGTCGCCTAGTCAGGGGGCCTTCCTGTGGGACAGCGGCAGTGGAAATGGTGGGTGCGGTGCAGGCTCCCTCTCCTGTTTAGGTACTGAGCTATGAGTGAGAGCAGAGAAGCCTGGAGCAGGTGCAGTGCCTGGGGCTGACTTCCCAGTGTATTACCCTTCCCACCCTTGCACACTCTGTACTCTCTGTGCTAACTCAGTAGCCTACTACATTACATATGAAACGTCAGAGACAAAATTATAATGTTAACATTTAGTATAATAATTTGAAATAAATCATAGCAATTGTCATTCTGTTTTATATAATAGATGATTATATTTTAATCATGCTCTAAAAGCAGCTGGTATATGAAGTCATATATTAATCGTATATCTTACAAAGCAATGCTGTTTGTTGTATACTATTTAGCTCTGTCATTTATTTTTTTGTTATTTTTTATTCAAAGTACCAAGATACTAACATGCAAGGGGTTGTGTATGAACTGAACAGCTACATAGAACAACGGCTGGACACGGGGGGAGATAACCAGCTGCTACTCTACGAGTTGAGCAGCATCATTAAGATAGGTAAGGAGTGTTGGCATTCCTCACAGAAGTGTCTACCAAAGATTCTTGTACTCCATTGTGAAGTAAGTGGAAAAAATAGTTAGCTTACTAAGAGACAGGTGGAATTCACTTGTTTCCTTCTATGGTTGGACTGAGTTTGAAATGAAAATATTTTGTGATGAAACTACCAGAATTAGTCAAACCTAAAAATTCCTAAATTGTTTAATTTCAAGCAAATATCTGCCTGGTGTATAAAGGAATATACTATTATCTTCTAACACCTAGTTTTGAGTAGAAAATATTTTTATTGAATCAAATCACAGGTTTCTAAATAAAACAGTTGATTCTTAGGAGAGAATAAGTATTTTAAATTTATTTAGTAGATTAAAAACTTCATATTCTATGTAAGAAATGGCTGGTATTGTGAATAGAATGAGGCAGCTTATATCAGAAAATAGGTTTTTAGAAGGATGCACTTTTCTTATTAGCACATGATTTTTTTAAAAATACCCACTATGATAATTGTATCTTTTAACTTTTTATTTGAGAATAAAAATATTCCTGTTATAGGATAGTGATAACATTTATTATGTTCTAAACCACGTGGTAGGTACTTTCACATGCATATTGTGTATTAAATCACTTCTTTTATTACAAACTTATGAAGTGGTTTCTATTATTGTCACTGTTTTGCTAATGAGGAGGCCATGGAATAGAGAAGCTAAATATCTTACCCAAAGCACACAGGTGAAAAGGAGCTACACAGCAGTTTATATTCAGGCAGTACCCCTACGAGTAATGCTGTTAATTCAGAGACTCCTGAAACGGTATCAGATCAGACACATCGGGCTCACTTTAGGAGACAGGTGAATGTATACATGATTCTTTTTTGTTGAAGTGTTTTGAATATCATTTCTGGTATTTCTTAACACCTTAAAAATTAAATACAGTTCTCTAATTTAAGAAATATTCTCAAACTTTAATATTTGAAGCTTAACATAGACATTCTTATGCATTATGTTGATTGCTAGATGCACTTGAGGATGTTAAATCTTAAAAATTGCAGTCATTGATGAAAAATACATGAAAATATCCTAAGTATGTTATTGAAAAAAAACCATGAATTACCTTATTAACTGCATGGACATTGATCATTTTCACAAATCCATTCAAAAGATATTTATATTCTGAATCTGATTTGTGTCTTCTGATTATTGAAAATTCATGTGTTCTGTTCTTTCACTGAGATCGGTGACTTCCCTTTTTCTTTCTTCGGCAGCCACGAAAGCTGATGGGTTTGCACTGTATTTCCTTGGAGAGTGCAATAATGTAAGTATCTAAATTTAGACTTTGGTGCTCCAGATAAGAAAATTTAAGCTCTTAAAAAGAAAAAACTCTTACATTACAGTTGACTTAACACCCATATCAGAAATAGATGCTGTAACTCGTTTTTACTGTGTTTCTATTTGGGGTTGTTCACAGTCAGGAGTTTTTCTGATGTGACAACATTTAGGCCTGACCTCTTGCAGCTTACACACTTGTTGGCTTCGGTTTGCATTTCCCTGCATTACAAACAGCATCTCTTGGCCGAGTCTTTTGTGTTGGATTTATTTCAGCACTGTGGGCTGGGGCTTCCTCCAGGAAATCCTGTCCCCTTTCTACAGGGGCCTACAACTGAAGACAGCACAAGTTCGTCATTTCTATGTGATTTTTTCAGGTTTTGAAAGCCCGGGGGTAGAGTTACTGAGTCTCTCACTAGAATACAACGTCATGAAGGGAGGATAATGCTTGGGCAGTAATTACTCTGCTTGTTCCTGTATTTTCCCAGCATGCACTCTTTGCACCGAAGTAAGTGGGCCCTTCCTGTTCCCTCCGCCCAGGGACTTCTGGGCGTGGCAAGCCCTTGCTGAAGTCGGGTTCACTCAGGCATTTCTTTCCACCTCCTTTGCTCCACATTTCTTCCTGCATCTCAGCTCTTTGCTTTGGGATCATCTTTAAAGCGTGTGCTGATAGGAAGCACTCCCCATTTTTGTTGTCTGAGTGTGTCTTTTGCCCATTTTCTTGAAAGTACCTTTGTCTGATTCAAGTTTCAAATCCGCCCTCAGATGAGAGTTTTATTTTCCCTCCAGTACTAATTTCAACATCACTTGGTCTTTCTTTTTTTTTTAACCTTTATTTAATAAATATAAATTTCCAAAGTACAACTTTTGGATTACAGTGGCTCCCCCCCCATAACTTCCCTCCCAACCACAACACTCCCATCTGCTGCTCCCTCTCCCATCCCATTCACATCAAGATTCATTTTCAATTATCTTTATATACAGAAGATCAATTTAGTATATATTAAGTAAAGATTTCATCAGTTTGCACCCACACAGAAACACAAAGTGTAAAATACTGTTTCAGTACTAGTTATAGCATTAATTCACAATGAACAACACATTAAGGACAGAGATCCTACATGAGGAGTAAGTGCACAGTGACTCCTGTTGTTGACTTAACAAATTGACACTCTTGTTTATGGCATCAGTAATCACCCTAGGCTCTTGTCATGAGTTGCCAAGTATGGAAACCTTTTGAATTTGCCGAATTCAATCTTATTTAGACAAGGTCATAGTCAAAGTAGACGTTCTCTCCTCCCTTCAGAGAGAGGTACCTCCTTCTTTGATGGCCCGTTCTTTCTGGTGGGGTCTTACTCACAGAGATCTTGTATTTAGGGTTTGTTTTCTTTTCTTTTCTTTTCTTTCTTTTTTTTTCCCCAGAGTGTCTTGGCTTTCCATGCCTAGAGTACTCTCATGGGCTTTTCAGCCGGATCCACATGCCTTAAGGGCTGATTCTGAAGCCAGAGTGCTGTTTAGGACATCTGCCATTCTATGAGTCTGCTGTGTATCCCACTTCCCATGTTGGATCGTTCTCTCCCTTTTTGATTCTGTCAGCTAGTATTTGCAGACACTATTCTTGTTTATGTGATCCCTTTGACTCTTAGACCTATCAGTGTGATCAATTGTGAACAGAAATTGATCACTTGGACTAGTGAGATGGCATTGGTACATGCCACCTTGATGGGATTGAATTGAAATCCCCTGGCACGATTCTAACTCCACCGTTTGGGGCAAGTCCGATTGAGCATGTCCCAAATTGTACATCTCCTCCCTCTCTTATTCCCACTCTTATATTTAACAGGGATCACTTTTCAGTTAATTTAAACACCTAAGAATAATTGTGTGTTAATTACAGAGTTCAACCAATAGTATTAACTAGAACAAAAAACATAATAAAATGGATAAAGTATTATGTTGTACCTCAACAGTCAGGACAAGGGCTGATCAAGTCACTGTTTCTCAAAGTGTTCATTTCACTTCAACAGGTTTCCTTTTTGGTGCTCAGTTAGTTGTCGCTGATCAGGGAGAATATATGGTATTTGTCCCTTTGGGACTGGCTTTGTTCACTCAGCATGATGTTTTCCAGATTCCTCCATTTTGTTGCAAATGACCAGATTTCACTTGGTTTTTCTTGCAGTCCCTTGGTGGGACTAAGTGGCTTTTCCTTCAGCCTCAGATGAGAAAGTAGCCTGTTGTCTTCCTGGGCCCTGTGCAAAGTTTCTTGTGGCGCTTCCCACGTAGAAAGGTTTGAGTTTTGTCTGCAGTCATATATTCACCCTGGGAGTTGTCCAGGATGCCGTTGATGCCCTCATGAAGAAGTCAGCTGTGGGATTCAGTTACCTCACAGGGGCCCTTTATTTCCTTTTAGATTTTCTGTGAATTGTTCCCATTCTTCCCAGTGCAAAATGTATTATAAATTATTTGTAACATTTACTCTATTCAAGCTTTAAGTAATTTAAAACTTTTCCAAAAATGATTTTTTGAGAGACGGAGTTAGAGAAAGAGAAAGAGACAGAGACCAAGAAAGGAATCTTCCAACTGCTGGTTCACCCCCTACATGGCTACAGTGGGTAGGGCTGAGCCAGGCTAACGCCAGGAGTCACATATTCCATCCAGGTCTCCCTGTGGGTGGCAGGAAGCCAAGTGTCTGGGCTGTCACCTGCTGTCTTCCCGGGCACTTAGCAGGGAGCTGGTTTGCAAGTGGAGGACTAGAGCTCAAACTGGTACTCACCCGGGATGCCAGTGTCACAGGCAGCAGTGTCACCCACTGTACCACAACTTGCTTAATTTTCAAGAGTGTTGATCAAATTATCTAATCTGTGTTTCTTGCAAAGAAGCTCTATACTTTTGATATGTAAGCTAACCATACAAAATAAAATAAAGCTTTTTTTACAAGTAAAAATTGATACTGCATATTTTCTTACATTCTTTGTTTTATACATAAATAATTATCAATCTCCTTAAAAGTGGACTTTTTAAAATTATAGCCAGTAAGTCTTTCTTAAATAATTCAATTTTCAAGACAAAAATTACATACTTTAGCAACAAAAGTATAATAACACAACTCAAACACACTGAGATAAAAATTTTCAGGCTGTATAAACTAACATCAAGTGATAAGGAAAAGGACGAACATTCAGTGCAGTGTTTAAAACGCCACATCTCATTTTGGAGTGCCTGGGGGTGAGTCCTGGTTCCACTTAAACTCCAGCTGATGTGCACCCTACGTGGTTCCAGGTGATAACTCAAGTGCTCGGTCCCTGCCTCTCACGTGGGAGAACCAGACTGAGTTTTGGCTCCTGCCATCAGCCAGGGCCAGCTCGGGTTGTTACAGCCGTTTGGAGAGTGAACCAGCAATTGAAAGATCACTCTCTCTCTGTTCTCTAACTGCTTTTCAAATAAATATGTAAAAGAGAGTAAAGATGAGAAGCATTATAAAATTTTAAATAATTTTTATTTAGAAATCACAGAGCGAGAGAGAGAGAGAGAGAGCGAGCTCTCCCAACTGATGGCTCATTTCCAGTGTCCACAACTGAGGCTGGGCGAAGTTAAAGCCAAAAACCAATAACTCAACTGGGCCTCCCTTATGAGTGACAGGGGCCCAAGTGCTTGAGCCATTACCGGCTGCTTTCCAGGGGTCACATTAGCAGGAAGCTGGAACAGGAAGTGGAGCCGGGACCTTAACCCAGCCCTCCAAGATGGGATATAGGCATCCCAAGCAGCATCTTAAATACTACACCAAACAGCCACCCTGGGATCATAACACTTTGCACCTAAAAAGTAATTATTTATTTTTCTTGTAAGTTAATTTTGAAATTGATATGAAAATTATAATTTAAATTTGCTAGTAGAATTCACAGATGATAGTCCCATTACCAGAAAGGGAAAATTTAAAGAAAACATGGAAAGGTAGGCGGAAAATAGAAAGCAAACTAAATAGTTAATGCACTAAAAATTAAGCATAAAATATGATTGTGAAATTCATTATGTAATTCCAAGAAAATTACAAGGGTGGTAGACACAGCTATTGAAAGAAAAGCCCTGTTAAATCAGCTTTACAAAAATCCAAATTGTCCTTTGTTCCTGGAAAGTGCAGACCAAAGGAAAGCAGGTGCCGTAAAGTTAATCAGGAAGTTTAATTCAATGAATAAATGAAGTAAATTGGAAAAGGTCACTTTTTGTTTGTGATTGGTTTAGTCTACAATGAAGGGAGAGCTGTAATGAAGTTTCTACAATAGATATTTCGTGGGTTGAACTTTATAAAGCAAAATGCCACATACAATGGTCTTTCTGCCTTCTGCTTGTTGAATTCATTAAGTGGAGGACTAAGCCCATGGCTGTAAGGTAAATTAAAAGTACAGTATCACAGAAATTAAAAGAATAAAAGGAGGGATAACAAATTATGGGCTTATAATTGTATATATGGAATATATGAAATCTGTTCTCTTTATATAAATAATGAAAGATAGCTTTAAAATATTGCAATCTTTGTATTTAGATTTCCATAGTTATGAATGTTTTCAATTGCATGATGCACTCCAGTGGGTTTATTTTTAAGAATTATGGAAAGGAAGCTAGTTATTCATATTTCAAGTTCCAGAGGAATGTGGGACCCAATCATGCCCATCTGCGTAGAATTTATTTACTATCCAGTGCCATCTAGTGTTTCCGAAGGGGAATTACAGTGAGCGTAAATGTTTTTAATCTTAAAAAGTATTTCTAAAATTTAACTGGTTGTGAGTTGAAGTGTTCCCATTACAATGAAGTTTTATGGATAAAGTGATCTTTGAATTGCATGTGGAAAGGAAGGTGAGAGCAAGTGTTTACCAAAAGAAGTGGACATCTATTTGGTAGATACCAATAAATCAAATTTTCACATTTCATTAAAAAATGATGTTTTATAGCTTCATTAGCATGTTCTTTTGTTGATTTTCCTCCAAGTCATTT